GGTTCGAGCCCCGTGCCGCGCGGCTACATGCGGCACGAACTAGGTAGTTCAGACTAGGCTTCCTAGTTCGAACTACCGTTACTCCTCATTCCACGATCATTTCCTCCTCATTAGCTGATCAGCTGTTTGTCGGCTCAGCGCGGCAGCCATGTAAACTTAAATGAAGCGGCGATTATTTAAATCGCCGCTTCATTTTACTATGTCCGGTACCCTAATCTACATGCCTCTGGCGACAGACGTACCCTAGACGTACCCTAGATACTACACCTCCCTGTCTACAGAGAGATGTAGATTAGGCACACTGAAATCGCTAATGAAGCAGGGATTTAAATATCCCATGCCTCATTAGCATAAACATGCTTTTTTCAAAACAGTTTTTTTGAAAAACGGCAGTCTAGACATGGATTTGTCAAAAATGAAGCCTTTTTCGACAGATCCTGTATTCCTCAAAAATGTGGTTTATGGGATCTGTCAAAAAAGGCTTTATTTTCAACAGATCCACGTCTAGACTGCCATTTTTTTCTTCCGAAAAAAGCGGTGGCCATATTTATGCTAATGAGGTGCAGGATATTTAAATCCCTGCTTCATTAGCGATTTCAGTGTGCCTAATCTACATCTCTCTGTAGACAGGGAGGTGTAGTCTACACACACCCTGGGAGCTGACCTTGTCTGTGAAGACGGAGGCAGAAAAAGCCTTTTGTACTTCAGCTTTTTCTGTGTCCTCTGCTACTAGGTTGCCTCTCCCATTCAGTAAGGGTCCCACGGTTTCACGGACCTTGTTGCTACCCCTCACATCCCTTGCTAGCTGCAATTGCAATTTCACTTAAGCCTTCCTGATTACATCTCCGCATGCTTGAGCAATATTTTTATCTTCCCTCATCATCTGACCACTTCCACTTTTTGTAAGCTGCCATGTTCTGTTTAAGCCCTAACACCAAGTTGGTCACCTGTCGCATTTGCTGTTCTTTCTGCACCTTGGGATGTTTGTTCCTGGGTGAGATCAGGGCCTGTGAGGGTGTCTGTGTCTGCAACAAAGCAATGTGAGAACGGTCCAGCCCAGCAGTGATTCCCACAGCTCCCAGAGTGAACCCTTGGGGTAACTCCCTGTCACACCCCCACTTACCAGCAGTTGGCTGAGCAGCATCTGTTTGTGGGGGAGCTCATGGGGATGGGATTCACTGCACCTCTGGCTTGCCAGGCCGACCGCAGCGATGCCTGCACTCTGAACTTCCTCGAGAGCAGTGTCCTGCATCCCCATAGAGACAAGAGTGAGAATCAGAGTTGGATGTAGCCTCCCTAATCCTTTGGGATGCGCACAAGCCCCAACCCCACTGGCGACCCCCCCATCCCCCACTCTTCCCTCACAGGATGGTCCAAAGCCATATGGTGCCCACAAGGGGAAGGGCCTGGAACCTTACAAACATCCCCACCCCATAGGGGAGAACCAACTTCATGGAGCAGAAATCCTGGACAGGGAGAGGAAAGTAGCCACGGCACCTCCATGCTAGGGGAGCCTGCACCAGCCTCCTTGGGGCTGGGGCTGGGGCTGAGCCCAGCTGCCTGAAGCACTGAGCCTGACCCAGGCCAAGCCTTCCTGGAATTCTTGCTGAGTATGCAGCTGAAGCCTGGATCCTAGGGGATGTGCAGGGATCATACTCACTGCACATGACCTTCTGCCTGGGCTTTAGTACCAGCCCCAGAAAAAGAAAATAGGAGCAGCTGTCCAACTCTAGCACTGATGCCTGGACAGGGACACCAGAGCCCCTTGAACCACCTTCCCCTGCAGGGAACATCATAGAATCACTCATTTTGCCCTGTCCCTTAGCTCCATCTCCCTCTGGGCCTGGTGCAGCTCTCTCCACTCCAGCCATTCTAGCTGGGTCCTTGCATGGCCTGTGTAGCCCCCTGGCTGCCCTGAGTTGTCCGTGACCCCTGCTGTCCCCAGTCCCTTCTCCCCATGAACTGAGGCCCAAGCCAGTGGAGTGCAGGGAGCCTGATCTCATGCTGGCAGGGAGGTCGGGATGGACACTAGGGATGGATTTGGGGTATGATATTCTCTGCCGGCCTTTGGAACAGCTGCTGGGGGGGAGGGCAGCTGGGTTGCTGTAGAACAGCAGGTGGGTGCTCTTCACTCAGGCCCTCTCCTATGGTGCAGGTCCTGAGGCGGTGAAGAGATGGGCAGGGATATCACTGGGGAAAGGCCTTTCCCTCCCTAGCTCCCCGCGGTGCAGAGCAGGGATTTCTTGGGGCTCACGGGCCTGGAAGATTCTCACACCCCCAACCAGCTTCAAACTTCTGCCCCTCCCTGCCCCCTGAGAACAAACGTTTGGCTCCCCATGCCTGTGCTGCCCCCACACTCTGAGAGGTGGTCCCCAGCCTTACCCCACCATGGTGATCAGTTTCCTCAGGTGATCGCGTCATGTGGCTACACAAGGGCTCTGTCTCCCAGCCCAGAGAGCCCACTCAGATCAGAACCATGATTCTGGCTGGGGCAGAGCCTTGGGATCGGATGGTCAGAAACCTGGTTAACCTGGTCAGGCCCTCTGTGCTTCCCCAGCCCACGGCCTGATTAGGGTCTAAGCTAAGCCACAGCTTAGGGCCACACAACAGGAGGGCTCTAAAAAAAGAATAAAAACACCTCAAGTGTCATTAACACTGGTTGATAAATAGGGGAGACACGGGGAAAGTTTATTTGCTCTAACCAACAGGCGTATTGTAAGCAAGAAGTCATTCTTCCACTCTACTCTGCACTGAATAGGCCTCAACTGGAGTATTGTGTCCAGTACCGGGCACCATATTTTAGGAAAGATGGGGGGAGATTGGAAAAGGTCCAGAAAAGAGCAACAAAAATGATTAAAGGTCTAGAAAACATGCCTATGAGGTAAGAAGCTCCCGAAGACCCTGAGCGTACTGACACCGCGTCCGAGTCCAAAGAGTAATCGGATTCCGGCCACAGTGAAGCCGACGAGGAGTGCGGCGCAAACCTGGCCATCGACTCCGGCTTGCCTGCATGCGCACGGCGCAGACGGGTCGTCCGTGGTGCCGGGGGACCCAGACCCAGTGCGGCAAACTCCAATGGCACCAACAGCTGGGTGCCCAAGCCCGGTGCTGTTTGAGGCGGCATTTGCGGCACCGAGGTACCCAGGCTCGGTGCCGTGTGCGCCAAT